TTCCTTCTAAAGAAGCAGGTAAAATTGCCATTACCATTGATTTTACCATTACCATTAAGAGTAACAGTCACACGATCGCAATCAGGAGTTCTGTAATTTATTCAGGTCTAACGGCACCATAGTTCGTGCAGACGTCGTAACAGTGTATGTGTTTAGGATAGGGTAGCCTAAGAGAAGCCATCATTCTTCAGACTAATTTTCAAAGCAGGTTTTTTTTCTTCTAGACTGGGTGTCACTTTTTAACTCTGTTTATGCTGATGACATAAATGTCTTAATAGTAAGTTTGAACGATCTGCATTCTGTTGTTAACTGGGGCAAGGAATGTCTTGTTCATTCTAACGCTTCCCAAAGGAAACTACTCTCTTTTAATCATCTGAGAGAATTTTTTGCCTTCCAACAGCATGGCCGATGTTAACCTTCAGAAGAGTTACTCATTGTGCCTTCTTGGACAAACGTTTTACGATGACATCAAGTGGAAAGTTTATATTGAATCAATTGCTAGGTTTTCTGCCAGGAAAGTTGGTCCCCTCTGTCGAGTGTGCATATGTATGTGTGTGTGAGTGTGTGTCTGTGTGAGAAAGAGTGTGTATGTGTATGTGCATAATATTTCACTTATCATAATTTTATGTAGTGATAATTTGTTCAAAATTGCTAAATAAAAGATTAAATATATCGAATCTTATTTACTTAAATCCACATATGGCTATTAGATAAACACACACACACACACACACACACAAAACTTTTGGATTTTTACTCAATACTTAAAAACAACTTTGATCCTTCAAAAATATTGAAGGCATCACTTCTTTTTTTCATCAAAGTAGTATCTAGTATCCAAAGTGTTTTTCATATCAAAATATTGAATTATCTCCCTTTGATTGCTTTACCTAGCCTCATATACTTTTTACATCAATAAATAAATAATGAATCTCAATTTACCTATGACCAATAAGACTAAGAATTGTGAACTTTACCTGGCCTCATAGTCTGAGCAACAATTCTGCTTTTTAAAAATACCACCAGAGATTGGAAAAATAAAATGCAATTTGGGTGCTAACCTCCAGGAGAGTGATTCATTGTGCCTTCTTGGGCTAACATTTTCTACTAACATAAAGTGGAAAGATTATATCGAATCAATTGTCAGGTCTGCTGCCACTAAAGTTGGTTACCTCTGTTGTGCTAGACAATTTTTCTCGCCAGAATCATTCTTACATATTTAAAAGACTATCATTCGTCTTTGCTTTGAATATTACTGCTATGTTTAATCTGGTTTTCTTGTTATATATTGATAGATTTTTTATAAAATCCAAAGAATCTGAAATGTTATTGGTCTTGACCTGACATCTCGGCTCCAATCACTTTCTCACCGCCATAATGTAGCATCCTTGTACCTTTTCTATAAATACTTTCATGGTAATTGTTCTGATACACTTTCCTCTATGGTAAATAAACTTTATGAATTTAAGCGCAGTACTAGATTAGCGGAAAGGTTTAACCCGTTTTATAGTTGAAGTAACTAAATGTAACTGTAAATTATATATTAACAGTCTTTTCTGTCGTACTTCTCGCCTGTGAAACTCTCTTCTGGCTCCTTGCTTCCCAGTCAACGTTGATCTTCAAAATTTTAAATGCAATGTCAATCGTTATCTTTTGTTTTTTTTTTATTCTTGTTCTTTCGTTGTTCTCTCGGTTTAATAATATTTTTTCTCATATTCTCTAGCCTTCAATAAGCCCCCACCTGCATCTTAGTAGCTTTATTGCCTTGCTTGGGATGAAACGATTTAAAATTCTTGGCCGCAATTTGAACACGGCTCGCCGATATCACTATCAGCACTTTATGAGATGCCTCGTTTATAGACCGACTTCAGTTTGTTAAGTTCATTGGATAGCAAATTAAAAGAACAGATAATCCCTTTTCATGCCTGCAGAAAGACTTACAGCGAGTGAGTTCACAAAAACGTGGGAGATATGAAAACCAAAACTGCTTGGTAAGATTAGATAATGATAATAAAACAGAGACAACTAAGAAAGACGGTTTCCTAAGAGTCTTTGAGGATTTTGGGAAGTCAGTAACATTAGAACTTAATTATGATTTCTTTCTGACAAGGTTTTCTTTTGAAAAGCCGAATAAAAAGTAAAATCAGTTGACTCTCATTAGGTCTTGTACATTCATTTGAAAGGATGGATAAAGCAGCGACGAAAAAGGAAGGCATTTAATTGGGGAGTCAACAAGAACATTTAGATGATATACGTTGGAAGAATAGATGACGAAGTGCCGAAATATTGGTCTGGTGAACTTTCTTCTGTGGTACATCGACTTCTTGAATTTAAACGTAGAACTAGATTGGCAGTTAGGTCTCGTCCTTTTATTGTGGAAATTACTAGATGCAACTATTTTGTTTGTTTTAACACTTTCTTCTTTCGTACTTCTCGCTTGTGGAACTCTCTTCTGTCTTCTTGCCTTCCTGTCAACTACGATCATCAAGAATTCTGTCAACTGTCCTTTGGAATTCTGTTTTATTGTCCTTTCACAAGAATATTTTCTCAGTTTCTTTCACTCTCCGTAATCTCAATGCATTTCAGTTGCTTGACCGCCTTCCTTGGAGTGAAAAATATTGAGATAGATAGATTGATTGATTGATTTACTGAAACAGATAAGAGACAAACATAAAGTTCCTGAAATAAATAAATATATATATATATATATAATGACAATAAGGTAGAGACAACTCAGAAAGACGGTTTCCTAAGGGATGAAAGGAGTCTTTGAGAATTATTTACATTATTCGGACTATTGTCCTCATCTTTGTCGCCATATTTATTACAACGTTTGTACGCTCCTGCCATCTTCAGGTGGTTGGAAAGTCGAACTGAACCCTTTATTTCGCTCGCTGGGGTAGACTGTTCTAGTTCCACGTGTCAGTTATCAGTTATCTCCTGTTAATTTCCCAGTGAAAGTTCTCCACTGCCTTAACCGTGTATTGAACTCACACTCTTTGGGTCTTGTCACTGGATCTAACTAACGCCTTTATCCACTGTGCCATGTGTCATTGAGGTTAGTCTATCTATAGATAGAAAATTAGATAAATAGATAGATAGATAGATAGATTTATTGAAACAGATAAAAGACAAACAAAGTTCCTGACATAAATATACATACACACATATAGATAGATAGATAGATAGATAGATAGATAGATAGATAGATAGATAGATAGATTGCGTTTATAATTTTGATTATGAACAGTCCAAGATAGACAGATAGATAGAGTAAGAATAGAACAAGATAGACAGATAGATAGATAATGAAGAGTCCAAGATAGATACATAAATAGATAGATAGATTTATTGAAACAGATAAAAGACACACATAAAGTCCCTGAGATAAATATAGATAGATAGATAGATAGATAGATAGATAGATAGATAGTAATAAGATAAAGATTGATAAGAAATAAGATATAAGTAATAAGCATTAATATCGGATAAAAAAAAAACTTTCAAATATTATTGTTGTTTACGTATCTTGTACGAAACTAAAGCTAGAAGATTTAGATTCGTAGATTGTCCCAAGGAGAAAAATCGTCTTTCATTAATCGCTTTATTCGTTGCTTGGCGGGATGGATTCGTCACTGAACTGGTAGAGGCGTGCTTTAGTTAAAAAGTAGTTTCCCTGATGAGAAAAAAGGGATACGCGTTCGATTCCTGTCGGAAGATTTCTTGGATGTGTGCTGTGGTGTAACAGTATCGGCTCATGGAATGTGAAATTGAAGAGCTGAGTTCGAATTCCGGTTGTGTTCGTTGCATTCACTTACTTGCAAATACCTTTGGGAAAAGTATGGATCCATCTTTTCTCCCTATGGGTTGAATAGCAGGACAGACTTGGTCAGTCCTGCTAGTCAACCGCAGAAAGAAATGGCAGTCTACTGCGGGAAAGACTCCTGGTGAATCAAAAGAGAAATGGTCACCCAAGCGTATATCACGTGTGGCACTTAACTGACTGAAAGCGAATTCTCAATTTAGACCGGTTGTTATTAATTTCACTGGTAAATAAAATAAAAAATATAGGGATAGTAACCCAAACCCGTGTACCCACTAAAAATAACATTTATTGTAATAAGAAATATATATTTGTCGTTACTTGGAAAGTTTCATGGAGCAAGGGCGGACTATCATTGTTATTTCACCTGTTGTTGTTTGATTTATTGAAATTGTCATCTTTGATGATGGCTTGTGTAAGCCGAAAGCTTAGATTGGATTAAAACATGTATCAATATGGTAATTTCCTTTCGTCTTTCAATGATAATGTTATTAAGCTTATCAGACAATATAAAAGGAATTTACTTAAAATAATTAGACAAAACTTGTCTATATTATTTAATGAAACATGCATCAATGAAAAATTGCTGCCTAAGTATACACAATATATATACATATATATATATATATATATATATAGAGAGAGAGAGAGGGGGGGATATTGATAGATAGGAAAGGAAACAGATAAGCTGGGGTTTAATGAGACTGAACTTGAAATGTACATAGATAGATAGATAGATCATGATCATTATCATGCATGTGCCGTGTCCATTCAGGAAGTGGGAGGAACTTGGCTCTCCACAACGTCCTATCCTTTGTAGCTCTTAGTAATGTTTGACTTTTCAGCATAACTCACAATTCCTGCCATCCATGTGTACAGGGTATTTCTCTTCGCCTCTCTTGCCTTCAATATATCCTGTGAGTGTCAAACTCTCCAATCCATCTTTTCTCATTATGAATCTTAGAAATTTCAATTATCTCTTTCCGATTGTAAATATAAGCATGTTTTTTATTTTGCATTCACTTTAAATGTTGTTTAGTCCATGGGATACTCAGCATCATTCTTTTGAATAAAATTTCTATTCTCTCAATTCTCTTCTTCATCTTTGAAGAGACTGTCTAGTATTCACTGCCATACAGAAGTATCATATTACATTACCTGGCTCATTTGATTCTAACTAAATGATAGATACATACATACATACATACATAAACAGGCCGAGATAGATAGATAGATAGATAGATAGATAGATAGATAGGGAGAGAGAGAGAGAGAGAAAGCGGAACGCTGGAGTGAAAAAAAAGATCAAAGTTCCATTAGCGTCCTTTTTTCTTTTCTTTTTTTTTGTTTCATATCTAAGCGAAAGTCGTCAGCATATCTTGCTGTTTATTAGTGGGTATGATTTTGTTTATTTAAGACGTTACTCCGCACCCGGACAGATAAATAAATAAAAAGGTTTGTGTTTATAAGCATTTCTATAGAGCGGGAAAGAAAGAGTCCTTGAATATATAACGTGTGTACAGACAATACGATGACAACAATAAACTGAGATAGATAGATAGATAGATAGATAGATAGATAGATAGATAGATAGATAGAAGTATTTTGTGTAAGATAGATAGATAGATAGATAGATAGATAGATAGATAGATAGATAGATAGATAGATAGATAGAAGTATTTTGTGTAAGATAGATAGATAGATAGATAGAAGTATTTTGTGATAGATAGATAGATAGATAGATAGATAGATAGATATGAAAAGATTGATATAGATAGATATGAAAAGAATGAAATTGATAGATAGATAGATAGATAGATAGATAGATAGATAGATAGATATGAATGTATCCAAGTCAATGTTTGTCGAGGCAGACGAATTACGAGGATGTCACATAATAAAATACCCGAAAAAGAATTGATGCATTTTTTTAAATACCTGTCGTATATTTTTAGTCCTTAACACACACACACACACACACACACACACCACCACCACATCAGACGCGATAAACTCGAAAAATTAGCAATGAATGCCATGTCTTACGACCAAATAGTCTCATAAATTACGCTTTCTGATTCATATTCGTTTCTTTTTTGTTTGTTTGTTTTTAGCCATCGCCACTGCCACTTGGAAATTTAAAATTTCAGAATCGAAAATTAAGAAAAACAGTTGACACTTTCCTTCTCGGAAGAAAATACATGATTTTCCAGTGAAACTATCAGCAACTGAAAATATTTCTACTTCATAGAATATCACATTATTTGGACTATTGTCCTCATCTTTGTCGCCATATTTATCACAACGTTTCGGCTGTTGTACGCTCCGGTTGGTTGGAATGTCACTGGGGTAGACTGTTCTAATTCTACGTGCCATCAGTTATCAGTTATCGCCTGTTAATTTCCCTCTGAAAGTTCTCCACTGCCTTAACCGGGTATTGAACTCACACTTTAGGTCCTGTCACTGGATCTAACCAACGCCTTTATCCGGTGTGCCATGTGTCCTTGAGGACATCTGTGTATGAATTTCTGGGTATTATAAACCTAATATTGCAATTTTTGCTCTCATCATTTCACTTCTTGCCCTTTCTTATGTTCACCCAACACCACACAGTCAACCTCTACCTTGCGTGGCTCTTATGCCTTGTATTGGGTGGACATTAGTAAAAAAAAATAAGAGAGATAGCTATGAACAGACCAAGATAGATAGATAGATAGATAGATAGATAGATAGATAGATAGATAGATAGATAGATAGAAAGAAAGAAGTATTTTGTGTAAGAAAGAAAGAAAGAAAGAAAGAAAGAAAGAAAGAAAACATATTGGGATAGATAGATAGATAGATAGATAGATAGATAGATAGATAGATAGATAGATAGATAGATAGATAGATGCCATATGTTTTCACTATATATTATGTGTATTCTATTCGAACTGTTTACGTCATATACTTCGTGGTGTGCGATTTTATTACACCAATCAATGTTTGTTCACCATACCATATATATATATATATATATATATATATATATATATATATATATATATATATATTATTATTGATATTTATTTTTGAAACTTAAGTAGATATATAAAGATGCCCATGGAACGTAAAAAAGACGTAACCTCAAAAGAGAAACAAGATATTGTAACTTTATATAAACACAACATTGGACATTGCGAAAAAAAACAGAACAATGATCACAGAATATTTTTGAATTCAAGATACTGGCAAGATAAGAAGAAAAAAATAGCTTTAAGAATGTCACAAAAAGTGACTCAAGCAAAATGAATTGTACGATAAGCATTAGAAATGGATTGACCAGCAAGAAAATATTTGAAGAATGTAAGCAACGAGGAAAGACGACGAATATTAAGAACATTGACTAAAGATTTGAAAGCATCCAAATTTTGACGTTTCAATAAACATTGCAAAGATGAACATTTAAGTTATGTGAAGACATACATGAAAACTGTTTTCGTCATAGTCAATTTCAGGAATAAATATAGTTTCATTGGATGCTATAAAATCAGTCATTCATGGAAATAATCAAATATCACAACAAGACATGGATGATATGGAGTTTTGTTTTCGGTTAGTCTCGCAAATTTAGTTACCTTCAAAATTAATGGGAGCAAATGTAGAGAATAAATTCTTCGGCGATAAGTCTTTTGGGGAAATACAAGTCACAACAACAAAAATGATAATTTCGATTCGCAATGCTGCTTTAATTGAAAAAGAAAAGAATTTACTACGGCAAAAATATATAGAAAGTGCACTGACTTCTGAGTCTTTCGCGATAAACTTTCGTCCATGTACCTACAATATTTTACATTTCTTAACACTGTTACCGTAGTGGTGGATATTTAAAAACAACAGTAATAAAACCAAAAACAAAATCGTTGGGAAAACGAATGAGATCTGCTAGGCTATGCATCTAGACACGTTTAAAAGTTTCTCCTCGGGGAATAATTATAATAGACATTTGTATTTCTATTTCCCCTCCCACTACATACATAGAATTCCGGCAATAAAAACATTAGTTTGAGCAAGTCCTTTTTAGAGGTCGAAACACGTTACATAGAATTTTTCCCCATTTTTTCAGAGTTGCTCTACGATAGGACTAACCTTATTTATTGCTATTTTGTAAACTTCATTTTTTATGGCAGAAAACCAAAAGCTTGCGACACAGAATGAGAACTGAAATCCCTACAGGTGTAATAATCCTAAGTAATGCTCCACTAAGCTTTAACAATTTGACTCATGGCCAAATTATTGAAACCCCCAAAGAGGATCGAATTCTCTATAGTAGTACTAAACTACAAAACTAACTTGCTAAATAGTGATCCATATCGGGATACACTGATATTCGCCAAGTTTTATTACTATGGCTCTGGGACAAAATAGTGAATCCCCAAAGAGGATGGAAATCCCTACATTAGTAATAATCTACAAAACTAATTTCTTAAGTAGTGCTTCACGGCAGGGCACAAGCTAAGTTTTATTAGTATAACTCTATGTTAAATTAGTAGATCCCCAATGAGGATTGAATCCCCTACTGTTGTCATAATCTACAAAACTAACTTGATAAATAGTATTCCATGACAGAGCACCCTGATATTCACTAGACTCTCAGTTTGAGTCATAGCCAAATTAGTGAAGCCCCAAAGAGGATCGAATTCTTTACAATAGTAAAAAACTAACTACAAAACTAACTTGCTAAATAGTACACCATAGCGGGATATACTGATATTCACCAAGTTTTGTCAGTATAGCTCTTGGCCAAAATAGTGAATCCCCAAAGAGTATGGAAATCCCTAAGCGATACTTTCTATTCGACAGCTACCTAAAGATTTTTATTTGTTTATTTACATAGTTTTCTTTTTGAAACCTTGTTCTTCTATGACATTTTTTTTTTGGTTTATTTTTAAAAGGTTTTAAATATGTATTCAATGAAGATGCATTTATATGAGTGAGTGCAGCCGACGTCAAATAAAAGGGCGTTGTCGAGTTGTTTGAACGGGAAACGTTCATAAGTAAAGCAAAAAAAATATATGAGGCAAAAGATTTGCTACGTTTTTGATTTAAAAGGCGGAAACTTCGCATTGGAACGAATAATGAAGGAATTCCGTATATTTCAAAATTCAGCTTTTTTTTTTCTCTCTTTTTTTTTTCTTTTCTTTTCTTTTTTTTATTTGTAGTCAGTATTTTGAAAAATCTATTTATTTGAAAACGAAGGGTGGGACTCAGATGAAAATGAAGGGTGGGACTCAGATGTAATCTCAACAGATTTAGCCGTATTATCTAATCGGAAAGAAATGTCCATTTCTGCAGAAAACGAAAATTGTTTAATGATTTCTGTTGAAAAACAAAATTTGAAACAATGAAATTAGCTTAAAAAGTCAAAATACTCTATATTTTGAGATTTAAAAATGTCCATGTTTTCATACTTTCCCTTTGGATATGCTTTGTCCCTTGAACACGAGAGATTTATCATGGCTCTCCATAGCTTCCTTTATTTTGTAGCATATTTATACCTTATCCTACACTAATTTGTGCGCTTATCTGTGAACTCTATCTGATCATCGAAGTTAAGCAACGCTAAAAGTGGTCAATACCTAGATAGGTGAGCGTTTGGGAATGCCAGGTGCGATTAGCTTGGCTGTGCAGGTGATGTAATGAATAAAGGGTCGGAATGTGGAATCAGAGACCCGAGTTCGAATTCTAGTCGGTTTTGTTATATTCACTTACTTGAAAATACCCTTGGGAAATGTATGAATCCCACATTCTCCTCCTAGCTATGGGTTAAATAGTAAAATATTTCAGAAAATCATTATTATCTCCCCAAAATTCTTACAATTCAAAAATATATTTTGGCTTTAACTTCAAAAAGGTTGATAAAAGCCTTAAGAAATCAATTATGTCTGAACATTTTTACGCGTGTGCACTTATATAAATGCAAGTATATTTTTATATTTAATTATAGTCAATAATAAACTTTAAGGGGGGGTGTAAATAACCTAATAACGCAGTAACGCAGTCAATATCTGGATAATGTGTGGTACAACAGTAGGCAAGATTTTACAAATGAACTATTTCAAGCTTTTTAAACGTTCGTTAGAATAAAAGAAAAGTGTACTGAACTGTTTCGTAACATCAGCCTTCCTATATGGCAGGGAATACTGGACAATCTCCTCGAAGATGAAGAAGAGACTTGAAACAACAGAAATGTAGTTCTACAGAAGGCTGCTGAGAATACCATAGATCGAACATGTGAACAACGACGAAGTTTCAGAGAAAATGGAAAGAAAAATGACACTTTTACCAAACATCATGAAAAGACATTTGAAATTTCTAGGGAAAGAGGGCTTGGAAAATTTAATACCTACAGGACAGATTGAAGGCAAAAGGGACAGAGAAAAAAAAACGCATAACCTACCTGGCTAACAAGAGTAAATGGATGACGGAACAGGGTTTAAGAGAGATAACAAAAAGACAAAATTTATTAACAGCTACAAAGGATAAAAAATTGTGGCGAGCCATGATCACCAAAGTTCTGTAGAAGAACTCAGAGCAATATTTATATCCAGAGAAAGCCGGCCGTGTAACAAGGTTAAAATTTAAAAATTCTCCAACTGATATTTTAAACAACATGAATTTAGTCGAAGGGAATGTTTATGGACTGAATTTTAAAACAATACCCTGAAGTGAAGACATCAAGAAAAGTCGACTCTCTAATCAAAATTGCCATAAAATAAAACGTGGCAAAAGTTGATATAACGCCCCATTCGTTCGCCTAAGTTTAAAATTAGGTTAGAAGAAATATATATCGACCGACATAGGGGTTTTCGGGGAAAAAAATGATTACTTGACTGAGTACTCCAGATTGATTGACTGATCTTTTTTTACGGTTTATCAACCCTTTGGCGTTATTTAAAGCCGAAATATATTTTTAATTGTAGACAGTTTCTTCTTTTTGCAAGTGAATATAGTTTTTTTTTTCTTTTTTTTTTTTCTTTTTTTTTTTTTTTTTTTTTTTTTTTTTTAGAATAACAATGATTATCCCAGGTACAAGTTCTACTATTTAATTCATAGCTGGGGGAAGAAATGCACTTAGACCTTTCCCAAACTGTATAAATAAATGAATTTAACAGACAAAACTTGAACTCGGTTCTCCGATCTCTCGTATCGAGCCGCTAGCCGCTGCACTGTTGATTGGACAAAACACCAGAAGTCAAATGTCGGGCTTTGTGACTTATTGTCTTTATCTAAATTCAAAACAGTTGGAGAAATCCTGTCAGATACTGTCGCTTAATTATTCGGCCGAAGCAAAATGTTTGCGCGAAAGGTGTACAAAGACGCGGCCCCGCGACAATATTGACGTAAAAACTGAGTCTGCGTGGTAAAGATTAAAGGAAAATTTCCCTTTCCTACATCACGAATGAAACTTTGTAAAACAGAGAAAGAAATCAACAGAGGAAAAGGAAAATAAATAAGAAGTTAATCCATTATTCACAAAGCCACATTTACTCTATCGCTATTTTCACAGCAGAGGTTCAGATGAGCTACATTCCTTAGTTCCACCAGGTCAGACCTTCACGGCTAGGGCACGCCACGACACATTGTGTATCCTCATCCCCTTCATATTCCTTTGGTAAAGAAGAAGTTCTACTCAGACAGCTTCTTACCCAGAACTGTTATTTTGTGGAAAAGACTCCTTAAAATGCTTTCTTGATCACTATGATTTTAATATCTTCAAGTATAGGATCAATACATATACATCTCTTACTCCCCTCCTTTACGCTCTTACAGCGACATTTAAAAATTCATTACAACCCTCTGCCTTGAGTGACTCTTGGGCCTTGTATTGGGTGAACAAATATGGTGGGAAAAAAGC